TATTCAAATTTATATTCAAATATGTTTAAAATATTATAATGAAACAAAAAAAGCTTGATCAGTACATTTTGACTAACCTGTATAATTTTAATTATAATGCAGTTAAATAGTATTTATCAATATTTTAATTTATTAAATCATAATACATTTAAATATATTTTAATTCAATGCAATGAATGGTCCAAAATATATGTATTTTTTTCAAGTAGTGAAAGCTATACCAAGTATACAACTCCAACTATACCGTAAAAAAATATAATAGGTACCTACCACAAAATCGACAGTAATTATTTTTCATTAATAGTTTTTAAAAAAATCACTTTAGATTTGAAAACGCTTGAAGAAGTTTTTACCATAAAAGTATTAAAAGCTTAATATTATTCCAGCGTTTGCCAATAAAACTTTTGATCTTAATTTCATGATAACGCCTCATAAGCATAATAAGTCAACAGCAGTATAAAAGCTCAATTTGTATACATAATATATACAATCACACGTAGTTATATATAATGTGTAATTATCGATGAATATTTTTTGTTTTCTTGAGTCCGTCTCATTTATTCCTCCCGAAATGTACAATGAATGGCAATTAATATTTATACAAGCATAAAATGTATATTGTATTATACCTTTCATCATTTATTCTTGTTTTTAGAAGTATTTCAGTAATCTTTTCAGGTCATAAACATATTTTACTACATATATATACCGATAATGTTGTACTTTAAAAAGTGCATCTATGTTAATAGTAAATTTCAGTTGACATTTAATTGCATAACGTTTCAAATAATATTATCTGATTATATTTCAAAATATATTTCAATACGTCATCATCTACTTCTGTAAACATTATGAACTGAGATTGACGGCATTTCACGTTAAATATTAATATGTTTTGTTATATGTTGTGTAGCTTTATTTTTAAAATTTTTTTTTTAATCTAGTTTCAATACAAGTCTGTTAACGGATACATAATTACCCCTCTGTGTTAAATTATAAAGTCCAAGTATATATCGTCGTATTGCATCCTTATAATATTCCTTAAGTATTAATCCCATTGTATTTATTATTATTATATTCAACAATGAATTTAAAGCCTTTTATAGATGAAACACGGCACGATGACTTATGAACTCTTGATACCAACTAATAAAAACAAACTCACAATTCGATCACTTCCTTTTTGCAATGAATTGTATTATTATGTTGCAAGAAGTTTAAGGAAAAAGTCCAATTTCAGTACGAAATATTATATTACAGCATGTATAGACTTGACCTACGCACATGTGATAATATGAAATAGTTATAAATCCGAATAAATGTATACAACCAGACATTGTACACACCTACCGGCTACCATATTTTAAAATAATCGTCTAAACAAAATTAAATAAGATGAAGATGAATAGTTGAATGCGTTTTCACAGGATATAAATCATTGGAAATCGTCTTTAGTCGTTGTGTAATTATTGTAGGTACTCATGCCACTATAGACTAATCAAAACTACCTTTCCTAAGCACTAGATAATAACATTTGTTAGCTTGATTACATTTTTGGGAATTGTACACACGTCTACTTGCTTGTAAACATATATATATAGGCTCAATGTTTAAAACATGTTCAGACTACAGATAAATAATAGGAAAAAACAACATACCTGCTCTCTTGATTAAGAACACATCGAAAAGCCGATATGTATAATAATCTATATTAGCTATAAGTACTCTGTGAACGCTATTCAGTTATCTATGACTATTAAGACGTACCTACCGCATTAAAATTTTAAACATTTTGTTTAACAGCACACTGTGTAAAAAAAATGCAGCTATTACAACAAAACAAATATTTCACTAAAGATTTTAATCGAAAACGACGTGCGTAGAATAGTAACGAAAATATTGTGGAAAAAAAACGGAATAAATTAATTATCGTCAACCACAGCATATAGCTGATATCATGATAGTACGATGGAATATAAAAATACGAACAAATTACACGTTTGCGATAAAACATTAATTTAGCCAGTGTTTACAGTGTCAATTGATCTGAAGACTATATATTTTAGTAGGTACTATTGCATCGCGTAATATTTTTAATCGTCCCGGTAGAAAAAATAAATGGTGTTATAGCAGGTCATTGCTGAATACGAAAACCCACGACAGTGAAAACCCATCGTCGTAGAAGACACGTTGTATATTATACACGCTGCAGCTGTATTATAAAAACGCTAATCCATTCCGTTTGGTTTTAGATAAAAATTAACGACACTATTTACCGAATAATATACTGTTTTAAGAATCGACTAATGATAACGGTCGAAATAATTTTATCCTCCATCTAGACGCTATACCTAATGTGTACTTCCGACACGTATCTCGTGTTCAATGAACTTCGGGATTTTATGTGAATGGCACAATGTGATAGTGAACAATAAGCGTCTAGAAAAATAAAGGGTACGAAGCAAAAGAAGAACCAACATCAATTATATATGTTATTATATAAGCGTTATCTTTGCAGAAAGTATACTAGGTGTATCGATTTCTTGCCAAAAAAAAAGAAAAAATTGTGTGCGTATGTAGGTACGTGTCTTAAACATTTGGCCGATTAGACGATCATTGTAATTTGCGTAAAAATAAATTGATGATGAAAAGTTTCACTTTTATTAACGCGAGGCTAAAATGCGATAATTGCTTTTGTGTGTTTATTCAGTATTCGCAATTACACTGTAAAGTAAATACAAAATGAACAAAGCCACCAAACGTGATTAAAAACTATATTGTTGTTTAGTGTTTAATAAATTATATTAGAAAAGTTAATTAAGAGAAGTTGTAAAAAATTGCCTATAGACTTACGGTTAGATTATGGTCGCAAACTTGCAAATATTTAATTTACTTTAATATATTATATCATTAAATAGGTACAAAAAGTTTTTTAAATAAACATTCAAACCCCAAAACTTTCAATTTCCTCAAAAACAAATAATATTATTCAAAAATACTTTTTTGTGTATGGTAAAATAAAATGTGAAGTAAAAATGCTGAAAGTAAAAAAAAAGATCTTTGTGCATTTAACAGCTTCAAAAAAAGTTTCACGAAACATATAAACAACAAACCCGCATATATATTAAATAATAGTTTTTGCACTCTGCTTAGAGATTTATAACAAAATAACTTCAACAGAAATTAATTTATACAGTATAAATTAAATAACAATGATTACTGCTTGGAAAACAAAACGGGTGCATTAAACTAATGACAGTTATTTCAAATTAAACATAGGCCAAATCCATATGAGCAAATAAAGATATTTTATAGAAAAAAAATGTGTTTAATATTCGTAAAAAAAGGACACGTACAACTTTACTGTAAATATAATCCATTTAGGTACTCGTCTAAATTTCAGTGATTCATGTTAAACCACAATACATCGATAACAATTAATTATAATAAAAGTTATGAATAAAAAATATATAAAATACGATCTTAAAACTCGATGAATTTCAAAAAGTTGTATGTTGATCTATCAAACTGAGTCAATTTAATATATTTTCTCTTATTTATTATTTTTAACATCATATACCAATGTAAAACTACAAACAAACTACTGTAAATATAAAGTAATCTCGAAATTATTTTTTACACGTGATGATATAATAGGTTATTTAAAATCTAAACTATAAATAAGTATATTATACTTATATTATACTTATATATTATACTTATTTATATATATTATTATCTACACTAAAATAATACATTAAACAAATCAGAATGAATATATTATTTGAATTTTACCAAGCTACATTGAGGATAAAACTAGACACTAACACAAGTTACTCTTTTTTTTTTTTTAAAAAAGTGAAATTTTGTAATTACATTAGGTTTGTTACAGTTATTGTAGTTTTGTAAAAATTGTGTTTATTTCTTTCTATTTTCTACTCATTAATTACTTTTATTGCACATTTTTCAACTTTATAGGTGACTTAACTCATTACATTTCATGTTTATAAAGAACTATTCACTGATTTCATTCAAGTACATTTAAAAGGTATGAACAAATGTACAGTGTACATGCACTGAAACCATAGAGACCATACTTTATGGTTTGGTGGACATTACTTAAACAGTTAAATTCCTCATAAATATTATAACTTATAACTATACATTTTTTTCAAATTTTATTAATTATTCAAAGTAGATTTTGAAAAGTTATGTCTTTCGCAGTTTTGCTCTCACTTCATCAAAGATCAACAAAGTAGGCATAACATAATGATAATATACAAGAAGAAATGACCATGCTATAGGTACCTATATGGAACATATCCAAACAGATACTTTATTATTATTTGCATAACTTATTTTTCCATGTTTATTTTAGTTAATATTTTTTATTTAACAGTTAACTTCAGTGGGTATGTGACTTTTTCAAATCATCAAATAAGTAAATTGTTCAAGTTCCTCATTTCATAAAATCATCTTATAATATAATAAAATTATAAGACATGCAATTTAAAAAAAATTCAATAAGAAACGATCCATATTCAAATGTCAAACCAGCAATAAACTATAGATGCAGGCTTGCAGATTATAAAAAAATAATATGCACCTACCTACAATATGTACGTCATGTTATATGATGACGTAATCAATGGAAATGTTTATTAAATAAGTCATTTAATCATAAATTAATTAATAGACTTAATAATGCTTCAAACGTACAATTTTTAAACCATAAAAAAAAATGTTTATGTAAATGTTAATTTAGTTTTTTTGTTTACAAACTATACAAATTAAAAGTAATATATTAAAAACATTTTTTTCGTACGGATATGATTATATACGTTTTTATATTCAAATAACACACTTTCAACGTGAATATGATACCCATGTCCGGGTTCAATAATTCATAAGCAACCGATAATTAATACAATAACATTAATAGGTAGGTAGTTATAATTCATCGCATATATAACTATATTAGAATTTAAAAGCTAACATACCTGTGTGTTCGTTTATATTGCACGATCAATGTGAAATTAATATCTCGCTTTTATTTTCGTCTCAAATTCGAGTTTTTTTTACTCGTCTAATCATCTCATTTTCACGGGACGTCTGAACGACAATCATGTTGAAATAATCGAAAATAAAAAAAATCGTGACAAATTTCGTACCAATCCTCGGTCGGGCCGGAAATGGAACATAAATAAACATAAAATATGTTACGACATGACTCGTAAAAAATCACGTGAACTCTATCGTTGTGTACGGCGGCGCGACGTGTTAGTCGTTCCAAGCGCGTGGCACGACTGGCGAATTTTGACCAGCAACGCGCCTCCCTCGAGCTTCGACTGCCATACGCTTGCGGCTCTATCTGGCGCATTTCAAAGTTTCTTTGATTCATGCGCGCGTACGACTGATTGAGATGAGCTATGAATTGTCCGATATGAAGGTTCGGCGGGAGATATTTTCTATATTTTTATGACGAGAAAATATTAAAATGTCGACATATTATTATTATTATTTCGTCGATTTAAAAAAAAAAAAATGTTTGCGTAGCCTTGCAGAGTGCCCCGATATACGTATATGCTTTAACACAAAAATTCAAAATACATAACAAATTTATAGCAAACACTTATGTTATGTAATAAAAGTAAAACTTTTCTTAAATCAAATACTTTGATCTTTTGATCTATAAATATAAAGCGGCAAACGTTGTTTCATTTTTATACTTTCAAGTGTAAAATAACTTTTACGATTCAAATACGGACAGTATTATATTATATGTACCTTAACGCTGACCTTAAAATTAAACCAATTTTTTTTATTATTTTTTGTGTTATTATTTATTATGCATTTTTATAACTCAGAGCTATTTTATAATTTTAAATTGTTCACTATTTCCTAATTTACTACTTACACATATAATATTTATTGTTTAGTTGTTGAAATTGAAAAATTATTCTTAATATTATTTGAAATTAATATTATATGTTTACAGTTAATTAATTGCAATAAATGCCCTACATAGCAATAATGTAGGTATTACAATTTATAGAGATTAACAAGAAAAAAATAAGTAGACAATTCTAAAAAAACCATTAGTTAATATTCTAAAACTGTATCTATGGTTATCTTTATTTTGTTTTCCTTGTTGTATAATATACTGTGGTTTATGTAGTAAAATGGACAAATTACCTTACTTGTACTACCTACTTACGTGAAAACTTGTAAGACAATAACTCAGATTTGGCACGGTAACATGTTGTGGGGTCTTGGGGTCGCGAAGAATGTATTTTTATACATAAGTATTAAAATATGCGTAATAATGGTTTTGATATTTTTGGCACTATATACCGTGAGCCATATAGACATTAGAAATATTGTTTTTTTTTTTACTTATCGATATCAAAAAATCTCCGGCTTATAGTGTAATATCCAAATATCCACACGGTTACGAGTCACTCGCAGCAATTATAAAGACCACCAAACGAAAAGTTTTTGTTCAATATCATTCAATTTTATGAAATTTAATTATTAATTTAATATTTATAAACATATTATTAGATTAAAAAAGATTCTACCACAAATAAATTTTTGACACTACGTAAACATTTATCTATATTATATATTTTTTTATGATCAATATTAGAATATTATATTAACATTTAGCGAGTAATACATTAAGATATGATCAAATATGAATTTTATAAAATATCGTATTATCTTTAAGAGACCCCAATATAATTTTTAATTTGGTAAATTAATATTATTTCATATTGACGAAAATATCATATTCTGCTTACAATGTCCAAGCACTAGTTTATAATTTACACGGGGTTTTGACACACGAATAGACTTCATATGAAATTCGGAAGCATTGAGCTATGGACGACACGTACACTTCTTGATAGCTTATACATAAAGGCTATTACCACAACAAATAAAGTAGAACAGATTTGAGGTAAAGTAAAATATTATCAGAGTAAAATTAGTACCTAAGTTCATAATAAATTTAGTTCATAACCAAAATAATAAATTAATTAGAAAGTTTGAAATATATTTTTATATTATGAAAAATGTACCACGTACTTATAACTTACAGAAAATAAATTTAATGCATTTTAAAAGCATTGTAAAATCATTGAAAGTTCGGTTACTTTTAGATAACCGGGTATACCTGTAGGATGTAGGTAGTACTACACTATTACAGTCTAATGCGCACACGACGAATTTCAGGAATCTATTATTTGTTAGTAATAAGAAGAATTTATGTTTAGATCAACGATATAATATTCTTGTTATCTTTTACATTATTCAGTAGATTCCTGAAAGATGTGATTTTAAATAAGAATATTTTACCTCCAGAAAAATATTTGTTTCGAAATGGTTTCTTATACGTTTCAATGACAATTTAACAATAATATAATATGTAAATAAAGCAGTGTAAAAACTGCTTTGTGTAAACAAATCAACGTTTTTTTTAACCTGTAGGGCCTTAAGACTACTAAGGTATAGGAACTATATGATTATATTGGCCTTCACACAAACGAATATTTAATTTTAACCTACTTCATTCATACGTCAAATTTTAACTATTTATATATGAGTAAATTAAATTAATATGTAGATCCATCGGACGACTGCATGCGCATATACGAGTTTTATAAGTTATAACTTGTAAAAGATTATTTAAACGAAACAAATCTAAGCTTTGAAACTACTTGGCGTTTGCTATTATTAATGATGTTTATGCTACATAGGTTACATCAATTTCAACTGTTTCAATAATGGCCAGTCTTAAAGTCATCAAATGAAACTAGTATCAAAAACATTAATAACATCTTGAATATATAAATGCACATAGCACACATGTAACTAAATCATTTATTCAAATGACTCAACTAAATAATAGACTCACGGAAACACGAATGTTATACATCGTGTAAATCGAACCCGATACATCTAAATTCTAAACTACAAGAATAGTTTATTTGGCATGGATAAATTACAGAAAACAGAATTTGTAATTCAAAAATACTTTATCTACTTCAATTTTATACTATGTAAAAGTATAAAAAGTCGAACCCGATCCATGGAAAAAAATCCGTGACTATAGAGCTGCAAACTCTAAATCCTTTAACTTATTCAATATACCCACCCTTGAAACTGGATTACATCGATGATATTCGAAATTGTTAAGAAATGTGTTTCTTGATACGAAAATGAATAAATCATAGAAATTTAATAGATTGTAGTAGGTATGAACAAAATAAAATAAACCGTGACAATAATTTAAATGGGCTTACAATAAATTAGATATATATTACAAATAGAATAACATTAAATTGTGTTCTCAAATTATATCTTTAAGAGCATGTCAGCGCGTTAGAGAGAAAACAATTATTGCACTGACATCCTCTTAATACTAATGTGCATTGAAAATAATAAAATAAATATTATGTACCAACCTATCCAAGACGATTCCTCCAAGCTCCGGTTTCCCTTCGTTGAGTTGGTAATGTCCCCTTGAATCTGGATATTGAAATGCTCCATAATATTATTATTCTAATTCAAGTAGATAATTTATAGAATATTATTCATTTTGATGATATTAAGCAGTCGGTGTATTGGATATATCACAGCCTGAATTCTGAATTGTAAAGAAAACGGCCAATATTTAATTTTAAGACTCACGAATATCACAATCGGTGATAAATGTCCGGTGCAATTAAAATACCCAAGTGAAGGAAATATATGAGGCTCGAGGGTCTGAATACCGACTTAATTAGTCAACTGAGTGTACTAAATAAATTATGAAAAATATTTGACTACTGACTAGTGATAAAACAACATTATAAATATTTATACTACATATTATTTTATACTAAAGACTTTAATCTTAAACCTAATTGGATTAGTAGGAAATTCGACCTTTATTCGTGGAGGAATAAAACAGCATTGGCATAATTTATAAGTAAAAAATACGTATTAATGAGCTTATTACAAGTTCATTGATTAAATAAATACATTCAACAAACATTTTTGATTACCGTAAAATTAAATTCTCTAAATGATAGATTATAACTAACTTATATTATTTGAATCAATTGCAAATGTTTTATTCATAATTGATGCGATTCTTTTCAATTTACGCTTATTTTTAACAGTTTGGCATAAATGTACCAATTTAAGTTTGATTATTATAAAATATAAAGATTTTTGAATTGGCCTTGGTTATCAGAAATGTAACGTCATAACTAAATTACAAACAAAATGCGAGATAGCAGGAATTTGATTTGCTACTGCGTGTCTATCACGATTCATGGAACTTTAAACTTTAAAGCTACAATTACACAAATATGTTTGATACGAAATTCTGAGCATAGAAGTTCCAAAAACGGTCTAAATATTGATGAATAAAAAGCTATTTACTTACATTTACTTAAACATTTAAACGTTTCCATACACCCCATCTTGTCTTCAACTGCCCTAATCATCACCACAACACACACGTCTATTGCTCCTTCGATATTCAAAATAATATATTCTCCACCCAAAAAAAAAAATGTATTCCCCATCGTATAGGTACTATCATTCTTTAACCATCATACAGGCTAAAAAATTGAATTTTGATATTACTTAAATAATTTAAATGTATAACATTTTAATCTTGTGAATTTAAATTCAATATTTTAACTGTCGAAACTAATTGTAAAACAATTTAAATGAGCATTTCAACTGAAAATAATCAAGAATTACCACCTGTGATGGTAAACAACTTACTTATTCCAATTGTTTCAAAAGTTTAATTTGTTGTGTACAATCTACGAAAGAGAAATTATTATCATACGTTAAAAGTTAGAACCAACTTCAAACGCTTATAAAAAATTATTGTGACTTTACCTACTATATTTAAATTTTATTTTTTATTGAGATTTCGTCCATCCAAATAAAAATAAATATAACAATGTTTTTTAATATTTTTTAAATTTCTAAAAGAACAACTTACAAGGAATCTTAAATAATTAAAAACCAAAAAAAAAAAGGGGTAAATGTATACGATTGTTTATACTTATAAGTCACTCAAAAAGAACTAAATCATCATTCAAATTATATAGTATCTAGAAAAAAAAATTAATTTTTTTCAAATCAATTTGACATCTTATTATTTTACATTATAATATACCATCTAAAGAACACTACTCAATCTCAGCCATTAATGATAATAATGCTTAATCGACCTTGATAATTTTACAAATTTTGTTGTTATTTTCCATTTCGATTTGGCAATAGTTTAATTGTAAATATTTGAAATGGGCATTTTATACATCATCTA